ATTTTTCAACAAATTAAAAAGAATTAATGGTTAGCTTTTGATTAAAATCACTACGTTAAACCATACTTTCTTTGTCTCTTGAAGATTAATTTCACCATTTCCATAAAACCAAGAAATCTCAGTCGGATAATTTAACTGTCTAATCCCCATTGCCTACTTTAATAGAGAAACTTAACGGACTAATTTCGAGTACTGACCGCTCTACAGGCCTATCTTATTTCCACAAACATTAACACACTTTACGAGTTGGGTAGCCATTTCCATTTCACTCTCGTCACTTTGAGACTTTGACGGACTGTCGGAAAAATGAATAAAAAGGATCAACAACAACTTTATTACCACACGACCTCGAAAAACTGTAAAACTGCTGCTGTCATTTCAAATTTATGCGACTTTTGTGACCAACTGTAACCCAACCCACATGGGCCCTAGCATCGTCCTGCTGCAACTTCCTTCTGCCAGCCAGCCATGTTTATGATATGGCGATGGTGCAAATAGTTTGCTAATTTTTCCTTTTCGGAAATTAGAGCATAAACTTTTGCTGTTGCCGCTCTTAAAACTTGCTGCTCTCTCTTCCACTTGTCCACACACAAAAACGCACAAAATTACACAGAAAACAATCTGTAAATATAATATAAAAAGCACTTGCTTAATTTTCAAAGGATTTTAAGCTTTGAGACATAATTTTAAACATTTTATAGAAGAAGAGGACAAATTTTATATCGAGTTAAGCCCACAATCTTAAGAGCTTTATAAAATCTTGACTAATTAAAATACTTTCTGTGTTGAAGCACATACACACATACGTATGGTGTACCAAAAACCAACACGCTTAACACTTTGCTATAAGAATGGCAGCTGCAGCTTCAACACCCACAACTACAACAACGGGGGCAGCCAAAGCAATTTATTTGGTTTTCGTTAAAAGTTTCCCTTTTTTTGGTTTGGTTTATTATTAACACCACACGCATAAGAGATATAGGGAAAGTTAAGGGGGGAGGGGGGTTATTCAATGGCGAAAAGTTGGTCTCCTTTGGGGTTATTGTTGTTGCACTTTGGCTCCATCTCAAAGTAAAAGTTATGAGTTCGGCAGCAAAGTTTTGGCTTGCAGCTTGTTTGTTGCACTGCTTGTTGTTGCACTGCCGCCTTGCACTTGGCAGGAAGCTTTAATTACAGTTAAGCTTAAAATCATATGCAAAAGTTGTTTAATTGTTATCAATGTCAGGTTGTGCCCCGAAACTCGAAAACATGATCCTTGTTACAGGATCACCGAAAATTAGGTCAACCTTTGAAACTTAATAAAATATGTTTCAAATGAAAGGTAACTCTAAAGTAATTTTATTGTATTCAGAAACAAGTCTCAAAATGTATTGCATTAGTTATTTAAAAGCACATATATTCAATTTTTTTAACCTTACTCACTATGCTTACTTTAGTCAAACTTAAAGCCACTGTTTTAAAGCAAATGTTGACAACCGCATAAAATATTGCATTGAAAAATATTTTGCTTGGGTATTTTAAATAAGTATTTTATTGATTCCAATGACCATGCATAATATTTGTTGAGTTCATAAAATTTGCACAGCCAAAAAGAATGACTTTGACAAATTCCACATTTGCCCGTATCAATACACTTTTGCCGGAATATATTTTCATGACTCCTACTCGCCGACTCGAATGATGATCAGCCAATATGGATACAATTTTTATGGCACTCGCCTATCGAATGTGTGGCAACAAAATAAATTTGAATTGTCCTTTTTCATATTTGCACATCGCGTAACAACAATTTTAAAAGCAATAGTGTGGGTGTGCACATGGCGTATACGACATGTGCATGCGAAATGCCCGATATGCATTCACGGGAAATTGGCATTTGTGTTACTTTCGCAATACCGGCGATATTTTTTTGGTTGTTATTGACCAGAAGTGACTGAAATTTGTATGCTCCGACCTCTTTTCACGCCCGATGAGCGAAATAAATTAATAATTGGCGAAACTCAATCAAAAAGGCTGCGCACTCAAAATAACAATAACATCAATACACGAAAAACAAGAAAATGTTTTTACATTATTTTATTATTATTATTTTTAATTTTTTTTTGGGTTCTCATTTTATATTATATTATATTACAGCTTTTATGATAAATAAAATTTATAAATAAATTTATTTAATTGTTATCAATAATTGTTATTTTTTAATTCAGTAAAATTTGATCGCTGAAGTTTTATAAAAAATATATGTATAGTTCCCAAACATATAGACAATATAATAATTTTTTTCAGTTTTAAATGGAATAAATTATTTTTAAAAATTATTTACATTTTCAACAATCATTTTTAATATTATACATCAATTTAAAACCTATTGATATCGGATTCAACAGCTGCAGACACACATTAAATTTAATCACCATAGGGAATAAATGCTTTCGCCTTTTACACGTTTTGTGCAACAGTTTGTGGCCGCACCACCGATTTCTCCAGTTCGCACAGCACAACAAACTTTGGCACACTTTAAACTTTAAACACACTCAATTAGATAAAATAAAATGTTTAGCTAACTTCTGGACCGGCCCTTCCCCTCCAGTTCGTGGGGATCAGGACACAGCTTGACCCAACGGGCCAACTTTTTGACTAGCTGAAAAATGTTTGAGAAGCAGCAAAAAAAAAATCAGAAATGGGAAAAAAGAGAGCACAAAGTTTTATACAACTTTTGGCAATTATCTTCTGAGCCAAGTCGGTCCATAATCATATTGCCCATGCCTAGTTTATGTGTATGAGAGCTTTATTCTGTATGTGTGCTGAATTCGTGCCTGTTTTGGCCACTGCAGCCTGTCAACAACAAAATGGCCAACAGCTGCAGTTGATGCCAACTATTTTTGTTATTTTCTGATGGACACCAAAACAAAAACCTCCATGGCTGGGTAAACATTTACAAAAAGTATTTTTTAAAGCCCATTTTGTAGGCCCTCCTCCCGCTGCCCAAACTTAATTGTGCCAATAATGTGTTGGCTCTAATCCTTTAAGTGCTCTTCAGATGGCAGTCTGCAAAAGTTGCTTTTTGTCCGCCTTTGTAATTAAACATTTTGGGAAAGCTTTCAGCCCAGATTATTTTTTGTGTTTATGAAAGAATATGCTTGGGAAATTCAATAAAACGTACCATTTTAAACATTTGAATTTGATCATTCTGTGGTGCAGAAACGTATACTTTTAAGAACAAATAAAAACATTAAGAACAAAGTTTACTAATATCAGCAATTTTTGGTAAAAGGGAAAAATACTTTGAAGTCTTAACCTCTTTATATTTCGCTATGTTTTATAATTCTTTTATTCTACCTTATAAATTTAAAAGTTTAAATATGTATAGGTTTAATATTATAAATTAGTACGAGTGACATCTACAAATGCAACGCTTCTCTTAAGAGAGGCAAAACTCTCTTTTCGAACTCTTCTCTTTGATTGGAAGCTTCCAGCGCTTGACTAAGAGAGCCACAGTCGAGTTCATTTTCGAACATAAACACCAGACATCTGTGCACAAACACCAACAGAGCTCATGGGCCCAAAAGACATGGCCAGGAGGTGCATCCAAAGCGCATAAATAACAACAGCGAGCAGATAGACTGGCAGGCAGGTGACGAAAGTAGGAATATTGTCATAGGAAAAGGTTAAAACAACAGCAGGATAAATTGGGTCAACGTGGCGTATGCTTAATGTCTTATGCCACCGGCTTTAATGAGCCCCATACCCGTTATTTTTTTACTCTTCCACACCTTGAGGACTCTAGACAGGACTGAAAGGAAAAGAACAGCACTGGATGCCGTCAGATTCTAATCAAAGAAAGTAAGTGTCTGAACGCTATCAAAAGCGGAGATATACTATATAAGAGGCTGCTCACTGCTCGGCGTATTTGCTCGACTTGGCACTTTTCCTCGCAATTTTTTTTTTTTTTTTGTTTGTTAACAAGTTTCTTACGCTATGACTTGGCCCGGCTTATACAGTCAACTTTTGTTATGCCCGGGAAAAAAAGAAAGCAGAGGGAAAGCAAGAAAAATGCAAGAAGCGAGAAGAGACGCATAAAAACTTGTTGAGATTTATCTTGCCACACGCGAAGAACGGAGAACGCTGCCAGTTCCACACTGAAGCACCTCCACCGCCAGCAGCCAACCGTCATCTAACTGCATTAGTGGAGACTGCCGCTCCTGGCGTTGCATATTCACGTCGCATATGCCAGTTTATTTATGGTCCTGCCAGCATTTAAGCTACTTAAAGTACGCAACGCTCGCTGCATTTGCGGCGCTACTTCTTGCCACTTGTTGTGGCACATGTCCTTGTTCCTGCCGCCCACCCGCTGCGCGGGCTCACATTATGAAAATCCGCGGCAGCCACAGTCCTCGACTGACTGAGTGGATACAATAACGAGCTCTGGCTCGGGAAATAAAAAGGAGCAAAGGGGACAAGTCATTAAGAACACCATGTGGGTCAGCGATTTCATTTTCGGAAGCTCTGGGGATTAACCATGACGCGAACTTATGTTGTAATTGGTTCAGGTGGATGCCAAGTGGGATTTCTTAAGCAGAAGGTGTTGACAGTGTACATATTTATATGTCTTTAAGGGTACATACCATAAACTTTTTGATGTATATGTTTATAAAAATGGAATAATAACTAGTTTTATTAAATAGTTTAAAGAGAATCCCATTTAAAATATACTTGTCTTAGATGCTAATATATAATAACGAGGAACAAGCCACAAACAATACTCAAAAAAAAAACACAACAAAGAGGAAGTGCAGAAACTAAAGTAGAACGAATACAATACAAATGCCACGAAGTGCGGTAAACCAGCCGCTAAATATTTGCCACTATTGCTTTTATGCTATTATGTTTTGATATGTATTGTGGCAAAAACAATAGAACCACTTATTCCATACACTCCGTTTGGATTTGTTAGGAAAAAGTATCTAACGAAATTCAAACACACTCTGATAAGAACTTACCAGATTAAACTTTTTCACCTCAAAAAAGTTGATAAATATTATTTTAAAACACACTTATAAATTTTGTTAAGAAGGATTTGTAACTAATAATTTGTAATTTGTAACTGATAACTAATGCAAGGCCATCTGAAACAACGATATGCACAAAATATCTTGAATTTCGACTGAAGGACAATGCAAATGGTGTCAAACAACTGTTGAGTGTGGCCCACCATGGATGCGTCCTGGCCGAGAACCAAACGGCCAGCAGTTGGTATTTGTTAGCATTCAGAAACCCGGAAGCGATACAATGAATCCGCAACAGGGCCAAAAACAAAAAACAACAACTGTCTGAAATCAGCAAATGCAAAACGGAAAGCGAGACACAAACAAATGGAACAAAATGCTGCTCCAGTTGAGAAGGAGCCAAGCTAAACTATCAATAACACTTAAAAGCTTTTTCAAATATTTTCCATCCGTTTGGGTTTTTTGTCTATTTGCTGCATTCTATGTGCATTTGTAAGTTTCTGGCGCACCATATTTATTATTTTCCTTTATTTATTACTGCAAATGTTTTTTGCTCTCCCTGTCTTCTGTATACTCGTATTTAAAAATGCAATTTGGCTTGTGTTGAAATGATGAATATGCCACGCTGGGGAGCGGAAGACCAAAGTCATGATATATTTGCCGAGTTGCATAAGTATTTCAATATTTATTGATAATATGAGTATACGTGTATGTATATATTAAGCGTTATGCAACATTTTTTTGGTTGAGGAAATTTGTTTGCGCTGCCGAAAGACAGTCATCGGGGAGCTAGCCTGATTTTAAATGTGGAGAAATAATTATTTATTGATCCAAATGCTTATGCATCAATTCTACTGGAATAAGAGGAGTTAAATATGTATTATAAAAATATCAAAAAAATAAATAGCTCGTTTAGGAGTTACGAAACTCTTGCAGCTTTAATTTAATTTGATTTTAAAAGTTCAACGTCCCATATACAGAAAAAAAAACTGAATATTAACGCCAATTTAAGCCCCAAATATGCAATTTCAGATATAAATATAAAAGTTATTCCATAATTCATTGCCCATTTAATTAATATTTAAATGCAAAAGGAGCGCATGTTTCTGTTTAAAATGGCCTTTATTATTTCACTGTACGGAGTTATCTTTATATAAATTAATGGAGCATCATACTACAAGCTTGAACCTTTAAATGAATAACAAATAATGAGTGATTAAATGTCCTGAATTTTACGAATTGTATTACAAAGATGAATACATTTTTTATGGATAAATTTGAGTTTTATCTTAAAAATGGTTTATAACATTTCATGTGGAACACCTTTTGCCATTGTGCGTGTTTATATTTTGACTGAACGCCTTTCACGCTTTAAAGGATGCGTCAGCATTTGAAGAGGAGACCAAAAGCTGACGAAACTATTGCAGTCATTTGGTGCTGTGTGCGTTTATGTCCACACATGCGGGGGTTTTATAGATATATCTTTATGTGGGCAGGGTGCCTCTGTCAGACATTTTATCTGACCGAGCGGGTCAAGCATCAGTTCATTTTATTGACATAAATGTTTATGTTTATTTGTCTGTGTTTAAGCATTACCGTTTATTGTATTGTTGATCCTGCCAGTGCTGTCGTTGTACTACTGTGTTTGTTGCTTTTGCCCACATAAGAGCAATAACAACATTGTGCAAATACACAAAAGTCGAGTGTGTTTTACAAGTGTTTGTAGGGTGCCTCGCCCCACTCAAAATGGTTTGTTTGTCCATAAGCGAGGCGGGATAATGAGATTTTAAAATTGATTTAATTAAATGCCATTATTATTAAGTTTAACAGCGTATAATTATATCAATTATTGCATGATGATATTTACATTGGAGGAATAAATGTAAAACTTGGCTTTATTTTAATTATAATTTTTCTACGCCTTTTTGTTGATATTTACCTTTGCTGTTTGCTTAAATTCTAAAAGCAATTTGTATCACAATTGTTTGTGTTCTTACTTAAAAACTACAGTTCGATTTGTAAATTCAATATTTCAAGTAATCTACATTTACAAGCATTTTACGTAAAATTCTGTAACTATTTCGAAAAAGCTTTTCAGTCCTTAAGTGTGTTCAACTTTCATTTTATTTTATGTTTGCATTTTAAGTTATTTAATAATAAGGTGGAAAAAAAGGGTTTAAAATTGATTTTCGTTGCTGGTCTCTTATGTTTAAATTTATCGAAATGGTTAAAGGCGTTTGAATGTTGGCGGCTTCCATCTTTCATCGATAGTCGATAGCTTGTAAAACCGCAGTTTTGGCCTTCAGCTCTTTCCAACACTGAGAGAGATTTGCCAACTGTGCAGTGCTGGACAGCAACGGAAAATTTCAGGGCTGCAGAAACATTGTTTACCAACCGCTTTTGTAAAACTACCGCACCCGAAGGAAAATTAATCACAGAGTAAGAATCTAAAATACTTAATTTCCTTTGCCGTCATTTTAAGTGGCATTGACAGTGATGCCACGAAGGCAAATGTTCGATTCGAACCTTAAGTCGAGTCTCATGGTGAGCAATCCGACTTTCATATACCTGCACCGTTCACTCTCGCTGTTTTGTTGTTGTGCGGGCTCTGCCAACACTGTTGCTGTTGCTTCGCACACGTTGCTAGTGGTGAGAAATGAAGGTTCGATTCGAACCTATTTGCAGAGGTTCGGGCAGAGCAAATGAAGTCGAGTCTCCATATAGTTTCCTACTCTATGACATTATATATACAAAATAAATAGTTTCCTGCGGAATTGCAGTCATCCAACGGTCCAGTGGTTACTTTTCCAGCGCCCCCGAACACGTCCAACCATGCAGGTGAGTCTGCGTCTGCTACGTTGGCAAAGGGACACGCCAGCAATTGGATTGCATGTTAGGACTTCTGAACCAGGATGTAATCAAAACCAATTCTTATTCTTGCAGCCCGGAGCTAGGCAATGGCTGGCAACGGTCCTGCTGGTGGCCCTCGTCCTGGCGGCCGACTGCTTCTATGTGCCCGGCGTGGCGCCGGTGGAGTTCGTCCAGGACCAGAAGATCGACGTGAAGGCCGTGAAGATGACCAGCAGCCGCACCCAGTTGCCCTATCAGTACTACTCGCTGAAGTTCTGCTACCCCAAGAACGGCACCCTCATCTTCAAGTCGGAGAATCTCGGCGAGGTTCTTCGCGGCGACCGGATCGTTAATACGCCGTACGAGGTGCGGATGAATCAGCAGGTCAACTGCCGGTTGCTGTGCAATCAAAAGGACAGACCGCTTACGTGGAGCAAGGAGGACTCCGCTCTGGTGGCGGAGCGCATTCAGCACGAGTACTTTGTGCACTTGCTGGTGGACAACCTGCCGGTGGCCACGCGCATCGTCAGTGTCAACAGTCCTACGGAGGTGACCTACGAGCACGGCTACCGATTGGGCCAGGTGGACGGGGACAACATCTACATCAACAACCACCTGAAGTTCATCCTCTCGTACCACATGCACTCAAAGGACAAGTACCGAGTGGTGGGCTTCGAGGTGGAAACGGTTTCGGTCAGTCACAAGGAGCTCAAGTTCCACGGCGACACCTGCAATTTCCCAGACAGCGCTCGTCCGCAGCTGGTCAATCCCAATGGGGAGACACAGCTGTACTTCACCTACTCCGTGGAGTGGAAGGAGTCCAAGGTGAGCTGGGCCTCGCGATGGGACATCTACCTCGGCATGCGTGACGTCCAGATCCATTGGTTCAGCATCATCAACTCGCTGGTTGTGGTCTTCTTCCTCTCGGGAATCCTCACCATGATTATGATTCGCACGCTGCGCCGAGACATTGCGCGGTACAATACGGATGACAACATTGAGGACACGCTGGAGGAAACCGGTTGGAAGTTGGTGCATGGAGATGTATTCCGTCCGCCCAAGAACACGAGACTGTTTTCCGCAATTATTGGCAGTGGTATTCAGATCTTTTTCATGGCTTTGATTACCATCTTCTTCGCTATGCTGGGCATGTTGTCTCCCTCGTCGCGAGGTGCCCTCATGACTTCTGGCATCTTTATGTACGTCTTCATGGGCACTATCGCAGGATATTATGCAGCGCGTCTGTACAAGACCATGAAAGGTCGTGAGTGGAAAAGGGCGGCATTCCTCACCGCCACTCTTTACCCGGGAATTGTTTTTGGGTGAGTTCAAATAATCAATAAAACATTTAAATACCTAATAAAATATTTCTTTAACCACAGCACTGGGTTCTTTTTGAACTTTTTCATCTGGGACAAGTCGTCTAGCGGTGCTGTGCCCTTTACCACCATGATCTCACTGCTGCTGCTTTGGTTTGGCATCTCGGTGCCGCTTGTCTACCTGGGCTTCTATCTGGGCTACCGCAAGCAGCCGTACCAGCACCCAGTGCGAACCAACATGATTCCGCGGCAGGTGCCCACACAGCACTGGTACATGAATGCGGTCTTGAGGTGAGCAGATTTTATCCATTACATTTTAACTTGCTTATCCAAATTTCCATCCCATCTTTACAGCACTCTGATGGCTGGCATCTTGCCCTTTGGCGCCGTTTTCATTGAACTCTTCTTTGTGTTTACGGCCATCTGGCAGAATCAGTTCTACTACTTGTTCGGCTTTCTCTTCTTGGTGTTCTGCATCTTAGTTGTTAGCTGTGCCCAGATCTCCATTGTTATGACATATTTCCAGCTTTGTGGCGAGGTGAGATTAATATTAACAAATTTAAGAGAGAAAATACTTCATCATTTTGATTACAGGACTACCGCTGGTGGTGGCGCAGTTTTATTGTATCTGGCGGCTCAGCCGTCTACGTGCTTTTCTATAGTATCTTTTACTTCTTCACTAAGCTCGAGATCACGGAGTTTATACCGACTCTGCTTTACTTGGGCTATACGGGTAAGATAAATTAGTTTTATCTTTGAATATCTCGTTTCTACCACCTCTTTAAACAAAGGTCTTATGGTGCTCACTTTCTGGCTGCTGACCGGCTCAATTGGCTTCTTCGCCGCCTACGTTTTCATTCTGAGAATCTACGGAGCTGTGAAGATCGACTAAAGAAGTTGTGTCATCCACTCGCCACGCTGTACACCAAACTATCCTTGCAATATCATTCGATCATAAATATATTTATAAAGCAACTGAACCAAGGCTCGTTCAGCTGCGAAAATCAAAACAAACAAAAACGGAAACTAAAAAGTAAACTCGACGACTCGGCCATGTGAGCTAACTTCCCCCTCTTTCCCAGCTTAAGAAAGCACCTATTCAGCAACCACTTACTAAGTCGAAACACGATATTCAACATAAACGAGTATGTCTTGACCCCTGGAAGTGGCTCGATTTGCGAGAGCGTTGCGTTTTAGAATCAATCTAGAAATGCCTAATTTATATATGTATGTAAAGAACCTAATCTAAGCAACTGATATAAAACAAACAAAAATCAAATAAACTAAGCTTAATGTACGACACCTGCAAGTGTAAGTTTCTTAGCTGGAAAACGAGATATTTTCATCGATCGTTGACTTTCAGTTTTCAGCTCAGTGTTATTAGTGCCCTTCTACAGTTAGGTTCACCGATTCCTGTCCTGAAAATGTTTCGCGTTGTTTTCCATGCTATTTTGGTAGCAATCTATTTCCTATCAATTGAAATCATCTTCAACAAGGGAATTTGTGAAAGTGGCAAGGTAAGTCTGACTTTTTTTAAGAGAAGAAGCTACATTTTCTGTATTTTTAGCGCCGACAAAATACTGTGAAGACACGCGTAATGTCCAACGTCAGTCTGGCGCTATATTGGGTAATCAGTTGGTTTACACCTTATGAAATTGTAGAAGATGAAAAAGACTGGGACATAATCGACGGCCGTGACGAGATGGAGTCGTTTCATTTACAATGATGGAAATGTGAAAACAGATGTCCAGCATTTTTGTAAAAAGCGAAACAACTGTTACGTTACCCATAAAAAAACCACATAAAGCAAATAAAACTCGTTGATATTATAAATACAATTATATTTAATTGTATAGTTTATTAAATTAATTGGTACAGATAATTGCTTTTAGTATTTTACACATATTAGGTTTAAAACATTATGTAAGTTATCTATTATCAATCGTATACACTTTTATAAACGGGTACTGACCAGAGCGAGCAACCCTTTACGCATTTGTTTAGTTCATCTATATTTGCGATAAGTAAGATTCTGAAGCAGAAAGTGAGGTCATCACAATGAGGAAGGATAACTTTAGTGCTTCTTCATAAGGAATCGTTAAAGTTTTGCAAGGAAATGTTTCTTAATTCAAAAGTCGCGATTTCTTGACCCCCAACTTCCTGCTTCATAAAACCTGATTTAATAACTATCAATGCACATTATACTTTAGGGTTTCCCCTGGCTTGGAATCTCAAATCTGCTTATCGACTTCCAGTAGGCACAAACTAAGGATGGTAAACAAAGTTATTAGGTGTACATTCCTTTCTAATTCTTTGCACAACACATATTGCTAGAGAGGGTTTTACGATTACTTAGGAAATAGATTAGAGTCTAAGGACCGTGCGGGAAAACCAAAATGTTTGATGTTTCTCCTGGTTCTCCTTCTCCTTCGCCTCCTGATGCTGATCCTCCTCACCAGGATCTCAGTGGAAAAGTGCGCTTTGAAATTGTTGCGAATCGGTTTACCTCATCGGGTTCCGATTCTTTAAACGCTAGCGATTCCGCTTGGTCTTGCGACTAACATTGCCCTCGATGATGATCTGATAGCATGCAAAGTAAAGAATTTGAATTGGAATATGGAGGTGGATTAAGCGACTCTAGTCGTATTGTAAAAAATTTGATAGATTGCCCTTCCAGTTGGATGAGTTTATAGTATAGGGGCACTTGAATTGCTGGGAGGGGGAAACGGGTCTGGTTGTTAGGATGGGTTAGATTGGGGTTACTCCAGCACCGACTGCTCTACCTGAAGGATCTGGCTGGCCTCAAAGGCGGTGCCCGGCAGCAGAATCACCGGCGAGGTCACATTGCCCGCCTCCACGCACAACATGTTGGGGAACTCATCGTCCCCAAAGTCACTCATCTCACGCGACCGATCAACCCAGGGATTCCAGATAACTATAAAAAATAACCCAAAAATATTTTTAAAGTATTAGCAAAAACTTTGAAATAAATTAAAATAGCTAATATTATTATTTTCTTCTCTGATAGACTTACCCGTGTCGGGAAAGTTGTACTTGTGTAGTCTCATTTTCCGGCCGGAAACCACGTTCGTGATGACGTGCTCTTGCGGTGTGTGTTGGTAGATCCTGTCGGTCCACTCGTTGACGGTCACCACTTCGCGTCCTTCTTGGTACAGAGAATTCTCCCGCGTCTTATCGATGAAGTGACATCCCTGGAGTCCTGTGATCTGACACCGCCGCACGTCGGGAACCTTTAGGTAGGTGTGCAGCAGCATATTGAATGTGAAGCTCAGCTCCTTGCTGGGATTGTAGACGCCGATGTGGAAGTGGAGCTCCTTTTCGCGCAGGATCAGACGGTAGGTAATACGGAACCTTTAAGGACATAATAGTTTTATACAATTTATTGCAAAATGATTTTCAGAACTATTACAAAATATATATTACAATTTAAACTGATATTTCTATGTTTGCATTAGGTAAGCATAATATTGATTTTAGTTAAATTGTTCAACTTACTGATAGTTCCAAATGGAGCGCGTGAAGTCGTTGTCCATCAGCGAGAATATGGCCTCGACATCTCCATTATGCAGCCTGTCCGGAGGTCTCTCCAGATGCCACCTAGTAATCCTCGCAAATCCATGTTGCGGACCGAAGGACCAAGCACCGAACTGAGCTGTAATTGTGGGAAAATGTTAGCTTATCGCCCGCGAGAGTTCCTGGATCTCGGCAAACTTACGAAAGACAAAGGGAATCCCGCCACGTATCGCCTTCTTGCCATCGAACGATGCCAGTTTGCTAGAGGAAGAGACGAGATGGATGAAGGAAAAGGCTCGATTAATTCGGTTAGATGCTACTCGAAAATATTCTGGCCATAAAAACGCTTGCAGACCGAGACAGACATTCAGAAATTCAGAAATGCTATTAGCAGCAAAAAAGTGTCTGGCAAAATGCTCCTTGCCCCTTTTTTGTTTGTGTTTTGTTTTTCTCCTGTCGCTGGAGATGACGTTGCCCCGAGTTGGGACTTGCCTTAGGTTTCGTCTCAGCTAATTTGCCGACGCATCCATCAAGCAACTCCTTCTGCCCCTGGGTCTACCTAAGCCGCCGCCGATTCCGTTTCTCCTCCGGTTACTCTGCATCATTTGTAAACGCCTTCAGCTGTGGAACGCATTTGACATGGCGAGTTTCATTAATATTCAGTGGATTTAAGTTCCAGATTTGACGCAAAGTGGAACCACTGCAGCTCTTTGGAAAATTGCATTATTTGCTCCTAGACTTGACTTATATGAAATGTAATTTATTTGGGAATAAAATTCCATATTTATTTTATAATTTATCTATTTAAATCTTTTGTATTTTCTTTTTGTTATTCAAATCCTAATTTATGTTCCAAGCTTCTGTCTCCAGGCTTCCTTTCTTTCGTTTATTTCAAACTAAAGTTATTTAAACCATGCAGTCTTAAACCGGGCAAATAATTAATTTAGTTTTCTACCTCCTCGCTTTATCCATGACCACTGCCAGTTTTTAGTGGGTTTCCGAATGCGACTGGTGGCCACAAAAACCGTCGAAAACTTTCCGGCAGACGAAACAAAAAAGAAGTTAGGAGCGCCAACGAGGGGCTAACACTCCAAATGGGTTTGTGTTTTGCGTTTCTGTGTTTGTGTGTGGGAGCTGGCCGAGAACCAAGAACCAAGAACCAAGAACCCGGCGTATTTGGCCCACAAGCTGATGGGCCACGAACCACTGTGCCAAGTGGAGGGCTCCCCATGTAGTGGGGATTTATCGATCTAGCTGGCCGCGCCAAAAACTCCATTCATAAAAACTTGCACATTGTTTTGCCACAAAGAGGAGCGGGGAGGGGTTTGGGGGAGGGGCTGAAAAGGGGGGAAGCCCAGAACAGGAGTAGGCAGCAACAGGGCGAAAAAAACGGCCATCAATGGAGGCAGCTCTTGGTGCAAGTGCAACGGCTCCTAGCCAACGAGAAGGGGCCGGTGTTATCCCCACCATTCCACCCCGCTCCCCTCCCCCTCCGCCACCGCCGTCCCTGTGTGTTTTTGTGTTTTTATGTTTTTGCCATTCGGTCGCTTTTGGTTCGGTTCGCTGGTTCGACGTTTGGGCCCGCTCGGTCCCGACGTGTTTTTTGTTGGGTGTCATACAAAAACATTTTGCCGCCAAACAGAATGGCTAAGGCTGCTCCTGCCCAACCTGTCAGCCAACCCCCCCCGGGTGACCCCCTTCTGGCCACCATGCCACTGTGTGCCTGGAAACTTTGCGAATCACTTTTTTGGTTGCATGACCAAACGCACACCGTGGGCTTGCGTAAGTTCGGGCTTAAAGTTCGGCCGACGCGGCGTATGAGCGATGTTTAAAGGGTGCTAGCTGCGCGCTGGCAGCAAAGTTCAGTCCACTCACCTGACAAACAACTGCTCCTGATTGTTTACACGCCAGGACACGACTGTGGCACCTGCAAATAGAGCGTGGCAAATAATTGACTTTATTATAAAAAACTATTTGCAAAAAGTTCGTGGGGTCACAATAGTAAGATTTATGGCATTCGTGGCTCTTTCACCCAAGAATCGAACTTAATTATCACATATACAAGCATATAAAAAATGGCCTCTTAAGAATTTTTCTTACAATAAATAAATAAATCTTTTGGAAAAAATGATCATTTAATCTTTTTTTATATTATTCTTATTTTATCATTTCGTTAAAATCAAACACAACATTTTTGAGACAACCGCGTTGCTCTGTTGAACTCATAGATCTCAATCAATTAACGAAAAAACAACCTTAAGCTCTTCAGTAACTTCTGAACTTGTAGATCAATGAATGAATTCGAAGCTAGATCAACTGTGGGAATTATCCAACAACAACAAACGGCAAAGGTAAGTACATGACGCACACACTTCTAACCCACATGGCCAAAACACACACAATCGCGCGCCGGAGTGAGCCAGTAAGTAACTGGCCTGTAAGTAAACTGGCTGAGACCGAATCTCTGGTACAGTTAAAGCCTGGTTAAATGGGTATGGTTACGGTATTGGTGTAAGTATGGATCTGGGCATAACGATGGCCTACGGCCAATGGGTGGGTGAGCACTTGGAGTGCGTGGGAGGAGCTGCTGCTGTTCCCAAAATCTCACTCAGTTTGCCCCAAAATGTGAGATGGGATTTTGGCAAGCCAAAACCACTCCACCGATACTTTGATTATGGTGATTGGATTTTGGCAAGCACTTTATGTAAACTTAAGTTTCAGCGCACTTTGAAACTTATAATTAACATCGTTCGAATTACATGTGATAAGATACACTGAAAACAAAATTTGATGTTGCAAACGATTTCAAAACTAATTTCAGTTCAATACGAAATCTTAACAAAAAATATATTTTAATAATTAAATAAATTAATTCCATAGGACCCATAGAATTTCATAAAATTTGATAGTTGTTCCAAGAACAAATATATGATTCAGAAGGACTTTAGATCATTCCTTCCGTTTTTCAGTTAGAGAAGATGTACAATTTATTTAACGATTAGAATATTTCACATTTTTTAACCTTAAGAGTCCATATTTTAGAAGTCTATTAGATTTTGAAAATCAATTAAATTTGGTAAGATTTTTTTGGGTGTACGTTCCAGTGACTGTGGCAAACGCTGTTGTGTCTCTGGCTGTCTGACTGTTGCTCAAACGGCTGCGACTTGGAAACTAACGTGGGCAGGCCAGACACAGGCAGTCGTAATTGTTGAAAGTACGCTGGGTACCAGTGTACCAGTACACACATAGGTGCTCATAGAGAGGGGCCTGTATACACCTATGTATGCGACTGTTTGTATATATAACGCCTAATCGAAATGTGCTGCGAGTAGGAGCCCCATCGCAAAAGCTGGGAATGGAGCTCTTAGCTCTAAGCTCCAAGCTGGTCCAAAGAATCCCAGCCGAACTGATCCCAAACGATTGTGTGGAGCACTTACCCCCTATAGCGTCTTAGTACCGCACCGATCTTGGCTGATAAGATAGCAGGAAAGCTCTCTGTTTTGGTGCGTAGAACAGCGAAAGGTAACAACAAGGTTGTTTCGAGTACAAAGTGATAACCTCCAAAGGTCGAAAAAATCATCGAATAGGGGGCGAAACGGGTTTCGATTTCGGAAACTCCCAGATAACAAAACTCTAAGCCAATCATGCGCTAAAAATAACGCCATCGAATTTTTGGCGAAGACTGCAAAAACTGTTGTTGGCTGGTGTTTTTTCTTAATTATGATTAATTGTGGCTTTCGTTTCGTTTGTTTTTTTTTTAGTTTTTATTTTGAAAGACCCTCTGCTCACCGTGCAAGTTGATGGTGCAGGTTGTGTTGTTGCCGCGATCCAGAACAACAACACTGGTGGCGGCCATTGCGGCCGCTGTCGTGGCCATTTTTGATTTCTTGTAACGGCAAAGCTATATCCGCCGGATCGTTTGAGATCCTGTGTGTATTAGTGTGGGAGTTCTATGAGTATTTTTCGAAATAAGCCAAAAAACTGTTGCTCCGTGTCACTTGAAGCAAAGCGATCTGGTTTCGGACTCAAAACTGGCGTCGATTGAACTTTAATTTGCGCATTTACATAATGTTTGCAAAAATTATTCTGCACACAAAGCACCGCACTCACACTAATACGAGCGCTTACACACACACGGACGCACACATACGCACGCACAGAGCGCAGCTTGAGTTTTTGTCAATGAACAAATACGTATGGAAAAAACTCGTGCAAAAAACGTCGAATGGAAAAGCGGTACGATCCGGACCTTCGATATAGCGCCAACGAACGACCGATTGAAACTAAACCAGCTTACGCCAACTGACCGCCTTCTGTTACTGAGCGATGTTAAGCCCCAACAGTGGCTATCCCTTAAAAGTCGACTTCGTAATGTACTTTCTTGCAATCGGTCTTTAAAAAAATGGATACCTACTTATGAACGTAAAAAAAGTTATTCAACCAAAAATATTAAAAAATGGAATTTAAAACATTTAATTAAAACCACGGACTATAACTTTTTAAACTGTCTAAACCGTAAACATTTTTCTGCATTTCAATAAATCTAAGAACAGGAATACAAAGAAAAAAAGAAACAATAAAAAATTTTGAAAATACACGAATAAAGATCCAGTTATAAACAATACTACGTATAACTTTTGCGATTTTTTCAATTAACGTGGTGGACTATGAATTCGGAAGAGAAAATATTTAAATGTTACTGTTAGCGCAAGAACGAGCAACAGCTGACTGGAAATCGGTCCAATTGTTGTTATCGATAACCAAACCAGCGTTGTTGTCCAATCAGAAAAAGTGTAGGCGTAGAGGAAAAACAAAAATTAAACTTTAAATATGTAAGTTTTGTTTTAGTTATGCAGATAAAACACCATCTTTTGGGAAAGTACAAGACCTAAGCTTAATTTTTTTACAAATTCCCCAACGATTACTCATTTGCAGCAATGTTGAGGCCAAGACGAAGATAACAATTCCCACGAGCAAGAAGAAGACGAGCCAGAAAAGACCTAGCGGATTAAAAACATAATAATATATAGATAAAAGCTATATAACGACAAGATGGCGAGGAAAATGGCAAAGTTCTACAAGCTGGATATAAATCGTACCGAGTGGGAAATTCCGGAGACGTACCAGAACCTTCAGCCAGTGGGACAAGGAGCCTATGGACAGGTTTGCAAAGCGGTAGTCCGCGGAACCAGCACGAAGGTAGCCATTAAGAAGCTAGCCAGGCCCTTCCAGTCGGCGGTGCATGCGAAGCGAACCTATCGGGAACTCCGGCTGCTTAAGCACATGGACCACGAGAATGTCATCGGTCTGCTGGATGTCTTCCATCCCGGACAGCCTGCTGACTCGCTGGAACAATTTCAGCAGGTGTACATGGTAACCCACCTCATGGACGCCGATCTGAATAACATCATACGTACTCAGAAGCTGTCTGATGACCACGTCCAATTCCTGGTCTACCAGATCCTGCGCGGACTAAAGTACATCCACAGCGCCGGGGTGATCCATCGCGATCTGAAGCCCTCTAATATCGCGGTAAACGAGGACTGCGAGCTGCGCATCCTGGACTTTGGTCTTGCTCGTCCTGCGGAGAGCGAGATGACCGGTTACGTAGCCACGAGATGGTATCGTGCTCCTGAAATCATGCTCAACTGGATGCACTACAACCAGACGGTGGACATCTGGTCGGTAGGCTGCATCATGGCGGAGTTGTTAACTGGACGGACGCTCTTCCCGGGGACCGACCACATTCACCAACTAAACCTGATCATGGAGGTGCTTGGCACGCCGGCCGATGAGTTTATGAGTCGTATTTCCTCGGAGAGTGCCAGAAACTATATTCGCTCGCTACCGGTGATGCCGCGTCGCAGCTTCAAGGACATTTTCCGCGGTGCCAATCCGCTGGCTATTGATCTGCTGGAGAAGATGCTCGAGCTAGACGCTGACAAGCGAATCACCGCCGAGCAGGCGCTGGCCCACCCGTACATGGAGAAGTACCACGACCCGACCGACGAGCAGACCGCAGCACTTTATGACCAAAGCTTTGAGGAGAACGAGCTGCCGGTGGAGAAGTGGCGGGAGATGGTATTCAGCGAGGTGTTGGCCTTCAAGCCCACCCCAGCCTTTGCCGAGCTCCTGCCGAAAGAGCAGTAATCATCCCGGCCACCCCTGTCCCTGTTCGTTCAATGATGCTATATACATTTAGATCAGTCTTTTTTTGCACCTAGTTCAAGCGGAAGTGCTTAGTCGTGATTTCTTTATTCGTGGAGTGTAAACAATCGGCAATATTTATTCAAGAGCGATCTATATTTAGAAAACGCTTCAGTGGCAGGCTTTAAACAATTATTTTTTTTTACCACAGAAGAGCACGTAATCGTTAGATATTACGTTACGTATTTTCGACTTCTCGGTTCGCTTTCTTCGGATACAGAAATTACGGTTGAACTATGTATATGCATATAATGTAGCGATTTCGGAATATTTTTTCCAAAAATCAAAGTCACAGCCTTAATGTCCAGTTCAACTTTAGATTTGGTGTCGGTTTTAACACGCAGTTTTTGTGAATAATCCTGTAAATGTGAGTGTACATGTACATCTTAGTTCGTAAGCGAACGCGTCTCGCGGCCAGTAACTATAAAAAAGAGCACTACTGTCTACGTTGAATCAAAATAAATGTGCTATGTATTTTAAAAGAGGAGATCTTCTAAGTAGCGCTCAAACTCCTGCTCCCTGGTGTTTGGCTCCAGGCCGAGATCGGGTTGCTGCCGCCAAATCTGGTCGTCTGCTGTGCTCTCCTCTGTTGGAGGTTCCTTGTTGTTGGTCTCTTGCTCTGGTTCTGTTGTTGTTCCCTTAGTCTCCTTTTCCTCTTCGTTGTCTGAGGATGTTTCCTCCTCCACATCCAGTTTTCGACGCTTCTTTTTTCGGTCAGCTTTGCGTTCCTCCTTTTCCCGGCGTCGCTGATTCTTATATTCTCTCTTCTTGGTGCGGTAGTTGAGCTGATCCGTGTGTGTGGGACAAAGGCGCACCTACAAAATGTAAGGGGCTCTAAATCCGTGATAAAATCTTGGGATGTCTTTATTAACTCACCTTAACCAGCGCATTAAGTGGCTCTCCCTTTTCGATGTACTTGAAGTTTACCTCCCAGCTACGCAGATTGGTCCGCTCCCCGCAATGACGACTGCCGCACTGGAACTGGCCGATACCGGTGACCACCTCTTGCTCGGTTCGCCAGCGCAAGGCTATCTTGTTCTCCTTGTAGCGCGACAGATCCGCTATGCAGTACTCCTTGAATAGCTTCCGGTAGTACCGCAGGGCCAAACGCTGCTCCCAGCTAAGGGAATCGGTGTCCACCTCGTCATCCTCCCACAGGAAGCGATGATTCTCCCGGATCACATCGATGTCCCGCTTGTGGCGGCGGGATTCAGCATCCTCCGAAGAATTAAGGACGTAGTGGTTGAGAATATAGTTGTGCCGTTCCTTGGCTGTAAGATTATTCAGATTCACGGGAAATAGTTGCGAACCGCTCATTGTTGTTATTGTCTTTTATGTTCATGCTATCAACTTCATGAATTCTGTACTAGAAGATATCGAAATAACTCATGTTTATGCGGAACAGAAAAATTCATGAATAATTTTAAGAGATGCCAGATGTTTAAGTTCAGGCTCTTTTATTAAGATAGGTGTTAGGTGGTAAACAAGATACACAAATTTCTATTTTATTAGTATTATTTCGTGTAGATACTGAAGCTAATATCTAATGCACGCACCCTATTTACAATGTTATTAGATGATTACATGAAATGGCCGTCGCATAAACACAATAATCGAGTGCCAGCCGAGGCTTATCGATATAACGACAGGCATGCTGACGGTTTGGCTATTTCCTAACCAGATCTGAAATGGGAGGATTCCCATATACTGGGGGTTAAAACAAGTTTATCTAACTTTGTTAAGAAGTTTTAATTTACACTTTGCCCTGTTACAAAAAGAACTATAACAAAATTGGTAATTTTCAAATTTAAAGTTCATAAGTTTTGCAAACTTGTTCTTCCTCTTTTTGTTTTTATGTCTTGGGATAATAAAATACAAGTTCAGTAACATTTATTTAAAATCTTGCAAACAGCTTTTATCAGCATTTTCGATGCGCTTCACTGGTATATATTTCACCCATTGTATACATATAAATTTACTAGAATGCAGTCATTGGCGCCCTGTTGATCGCAACGATACTGCGCCGCTTCTATATATACTTTTTGATTCCCGAAGGGGAAGTGTTCAGCGGGTGCGGTTGCTATGTAAATTTCGATAAGTTTTCTGCTCAAACAATCGCTCATCACAACAGGGGCGATAAAGTTGACGACTCACCACAACTATAGAGTGAAAATAAAAGAAATAGAAATTGTGGGGAAAGTTTGTATTAATCAAACATGGCCTGCAGTTGCAGCCCACTGTTCTTTGTCTTTTTGCGCAAAAATCTACTGTACTTAAAATGCAACTTTGTGCCGCTCTTGTTAATCTCAATCGGGTTCATAGGAGTGCTGTTTGGGTACCTCCATTGGTCAACCAAACCCGTTCATTATCAACTGCAGGAGTTTGAGCCCAAAAATGAGGTAAGTTGATATAAAATAACGTGCCCTTGTATGTAAAGCATACGTGAGTGCTAAAGTCACAAGCGCTTACAAATTATTATCTGCAATTTATATAAACGAACCCATGACCGCAATTCGGTGCTAATCAAATTATCTTCACCCATTGTTAGATGGTCCTAAAAGAAACTTACTTTCCCGGAAATGAATTCGACTACATATACTATGCACCCAGTACCTCCAATGTGGAGGACGTCATGGATTTCCTGCGGCTTGATCTCGGGATTATACCAGAAAGTAAGCCCAACAAATTATTTATGCATGATAACCAATTAGATTGTTCTATTGGTTCAGTTTCCTAAACAAGACTTTTTTAATTAACAATGTTTAAATTCTCCCCTAGGGCTGCGCACCTATAACAATAGTCACGAGATGCAGTTAGACATGGAGCAGCAGTGCCGGGAGAGCTGTTTTGCCATCAACTTCCACCAGGTTCCGGATCAGGGCTCTCCGGGGAAGTTTCAATACAGTCTGAGCTCGAATCAGATGCGCATTTCGCCCAGGAAACGTTTTGTAAACGATGAGGAGATCAATCATCAGAAAGGTGAGTTTTCCAGTTGACCGTTGTTCTCGTTTAACGAACCGGCGCTTTGTTCCCTTCTCTTAGATGACGACGATTATATACGCACCGGATTCCTGACCCTACAGAATGTTTTGGACAAGCAGTATATGAAATACCAAAAGCTGAACACTAAGTATGATCTGCTGGTCAGCTCGATGCCCAATCTAGAGGTTATAAGCATGGATAGCCATCGGCTAACCTACTTTGGCACCCTGTGCAGCATTCTGTTCAATGTGGTTCTGCTGAGTACCTTTGTCGTGCCTTTTGTGGAGGAGAAGCAGAACGGGTTGAAGGAATTCCTTAACTTGGTCACGCCCTTGAGTTTCCTGAACGGCCTTACCTTCTTTCTCATTCGCTTTGTGTGCTACATAGCGCTGATAATTTGTATCCTGATCGTGGCTTATGTTTACAAGGCACTGGGGCTGATCTGCTTCGCTTATGTGGCGCTGTTGTTTCTGCTTTATATTCTATCCACCATGTCGTACGCTTATCTGATATCTGTCTGTTTTCATTCAGGTAACTACTTACTTTAAAATCTGTACCAATTGTACTAACCATTATTATTTGTCTACTTGCAGTTTTTTATGCGAAGATCGGTGGCCTTGTTATGTTGATCATTCCCTATGTGTTTTCTTTTGTGAGAAGCTGGGCCACATCGATAGCTTTTGTCTTATTCAGCACAAATGCATTCTTGGAGGGATTAGATGTTTTTCAGACATTCTCTAATAAGCGTAAGGAATTTTCAGATACATTTTGTATTAGTCAAATTCTATTTTCGGCTTAAATGTTTCTTGTAGATCGGGAATTCGGGGCTGCGGATCTGTTCAGAGAAATCAAATACGATTCTTCTAGAATGTTTTGGGTCTATGTTGTGCTCGTTTTTCAATCCTTTCTGTACGCCCTGCTCTACAACTACTTGGGTTGTGTGTTTCCCGGTCCCGGAGGTCTAAAGAGACCAGTTTTCTTTTTCCTAGACGTAAGTACTACAAGCAAAACCGGAACGTATCCATCGAAAATCGCTCGGTTCGGAAATCATTTGGGTTAGCACTTTTATTGGGTCTGGTTTGCATCGCTGGTCTATTTAATTTATTTAATTTAATTGCTTTTAACATCGTGTAAGAAAAGAGGGTCAATTATTTCATTATCGGTTTCGGTAGCTTCCACTAACCTTATATTTTTTCGGTTTCGGAAAAGTTACACTGTTTTATTTCAGTTAATTTATCGGTTACGGTTGCACAAATCGGTTAATATCGGGAATTCGACGGTTTCGGTTTCGCGTGAATGGTATGTTCGTAGGACTTAATTAGGCCTGTTTTCGATTTTAAATCTGTATCTTTACAATTTTTAGCCCAAGACCTACCAGAAGCGACAACGCAATGAGTACACGACAGCACCTCGTGGCACCCATGCCATAATAATTACGGAGTTGTGCAAAAAGTTCCAGACAAGTAAGCGCGAAACGCTAATTTCGGACAACCTAAATATGACAATCAACAACAAGGAGATTACGGTTCTACTGGGCCACAATGGTGCTGGCAAGACCACCATGATGAACATGATTATGGGTGAGTAATAAGAATAATTCTATTGGCGTGTACATTTGATACTGACCCTCTATCTTATCCAGGATTGGTACCCAAGGATTCGGGAAAGATTATTGTGTGCAGTGAGCGGGATGTTGCCTCCTATCGACACCTGATCGGCTTCTGTCCCCAGCACAGTGTATTCATGAGCTACATGACCTGCAAACAGCACTTGGAGTTTTTTGCCCAGCTGCGTGGTTCTAGTCGCTCCGATGCACGTGTTTGGGCGGATGAGAAGTTAAAGAAACTGGGATTGAGCGAAAAGCGAGACGATTTCGGTCGAAATTTGTCTGGAGGCATGAAGAGACGTCTTTCGCTGGGCATCGCAATTGCCGGAAATACGAAGTAAATTTAAATCTATTCAGTTGAAAAGCCTGATAAAACTTTTTCTTGCTTATTCACAGAATCGTAATCCTTGATGAACCTTCGTCAGGGTTGGACATAAATTCACGTCGTGAACTGTGGGATATTCTTCTAACTCTGCGCAAGGAAAAGGCCATTCTGGTTACCACCCACTACATGGAGGAGGCCGAGGTTCTTGGGGATACCATCTGCATTCTGGCCAATGGCAAACTGCAAAGCATTGGCTCCCCGTTGGAATTAAAGCGAAAGTCAGGCATCGGCTATCGTTTAAAATTGGAGGTCAACGACTTTACATACCGCCAAAACGAAATAATGGAAATAATCCATGACTTTGTGCCAACAGCCCGAGTCTTGGTAAGATAATCTATAAATTAACTATAATTACGTCCAGTGTTAACCCTCTTTTATATTTCCAAAAGAATGTGGTGAAGCCTACTGTATATATTTGTCTGCCGTACGCTTATAAAAAAAGCTTCTCAGAAATGCTACATAAGCTGGAAAATAAAAGAAGTCTGTTGGGCATAAATACAATTTCCATGACAGACACTTCACTGGAGGATGTTTTCTTAAGGTACTTTTTCATGTTTATTTTTTTTTTTGGTATTTATTGACATAAACTTCGTTGGGAATTTCAGATGTGCTGGGGAGCAAGATCAAGTGGACACCCCAGATGGTTCAAGGAATGATGCTCCGTTACTAACCCAATATAAAAGATTGCCCAGCCAACCGATGCAACCCAGTCTGCAGCAACTTTGGATGGCGGTCTTTTACAAAAAGTGGACTTTTATCTCCAATGAATGGTTATATTCCCTGATAATGGTAGGTATTGAACAAATTTCACGTAACGAACACATTTTTTTCTTACATGGTTTCCCGATAAGCCTCCAAACACAAATTGATAGCATTGCATTTTATATATGTATTTATATTTGTGACACCCTCTCCACCATTTTGTTTTACCAGATGTGTATTCCCTTTGTTTGCGTTTGTGGGGCTATACTTGTTATGCACGCCATGTCGATAGTGGAGAACGAGGAGGCTCTGCCGCTAAAACTCAACCAAATGGGCAGTGGCATTATTTACATTCACAATCCGACGGGCCATCATTCCCAAGTGGAGCAACAGCTGCGTCAGCAAATCGAGCTAAATGGAATCACTGTGAAAACAATGCAACTGCGTGGGAGTAATGATATACAAAATGGTGAGTATTCCGTCTCGTACCGAAATTCTGAATAACTATGACTATTGTGTTCTTTAGAAACCCTCGAGTTGCAAAGCGAAAACTTGGCTGATTTCCTGCAACAGGTGATTGGCATCATTGACATGTACGGCGGTGGGCGTGTGACCGCAGATTCACCCTCTATAGAAATCATATACTCGGGAAATCGCTACCACAGCTCTGTGGAGCTGGTTAACCTGGTAAACTCGGCAATGCTGAAGTTAGAGCTTCAAGGATCGGACATTGATGCTACATACGTGCCCATCCGTCGATTTATCAGCGACGTCAGTCCCTCTCGCCTGGAATACTATGCTGTTATAGTTTCCGTTGGAATGTTCTTCTTCATGTTCTACTTTATCTCGCTGCCGTTCAGGGAATACGCCAATGGATTCCGGCAGCTGCAGACAATGTCACGATTTACTTACTGGCTGTCCCATTTTGCCTTTGATGTTCTACTGCTAACCTTTGTTTGCACCTTACTGTTTCTGCTGCAGCATTTGATTATGCCCGTCGAACTCTATTCCACTGCAGAGCTGAGAGTCATTGTTATGAGTATCTTCTTTTACGGCTGCAGCTACTTGCCTATTTTGTATGCCCTAGGAAACAATTTCAAGTCTATTTCCACGATATCCACGTATTTGCTTTTGATGCTGATTGTGTCAGGTAATGTTTGCAATAACCAGTAACAAACTTAGTATTAATGTCCTTTTTCACTTTTTAGCGATTGCTCCCCTGATCACCTCCAGTAATGCGGCGGCCATGAAACTTCATGAAACCAAGATTGCCTTCCTTTGTTTTTTGCCGGACTTTAACCTTAACCACCAGTTGCGCATCATCAACGAGAATTTCATTGAACGTCGTCGTTCGGGACACATAAAGCAACTTGTCTGCGAGGAGACTTTCTTTGCTTATGCATGTGCCGTTTGCTTCTCCGTTATGGCATTCTTTACCATCGTGCTGGAGCACAAGTATCTGCGTCGACGAATACATAATGGCGTCTGGAGTTGGTCATTCCAGCAAAAGAAGAACAACTCGACGGGCACAATTCCAAGTACCCCACTTTCGGTTATCGATGATTGCGAAAAAGAAGAACAGCGAGTTAAGGAGCTTATGGAGCATCCCAAGCCGGAGTACCCACTTATAGTTAGCAAACTGCGAAAGCGATATAAGGATAAGGTAGCTGTGGACGGACTAAGCTTTGCGGCAACAAAAGGAGAGTGCTTCGGTCTTCTGGGCGTTAATGGAGCGGGCAAGACCAGTACCTTCCAGATGATAGCAGCCAATTTGCCGTTGGATGGTGGCAACATACGCATCGATGGCATTGAAATTCGCAAGGATGAGGTGGCCTATCGCCATTGTTTTGGCTACTGTCCGCAGTACGACGCCCTAAACAAATTCATGACCGCTGAGCAGTGTCTGCATTACATGGCCATGCTTCGGGGATTGAGTACCTCAACCGAGGGTTCAGGCAGCGTTAAGGAGAACGTTAAATACTGGCTGGAGAAGATGCATCTAACAAAGTATCAGCAGGTTCAAGTGCGCCACTACTCGGGCGGCACAAAGCGTAAGCTTCTTGCTGCAATGGCCATGATCGGTGCCCCTTCATTGGTTCTCCTCGATGAACCTACCACGGGAGTCGATCCCATCTCGAGACGTTTTCTCTGGCAGTGCATCAAGGACTTTCAGGGACAGGACCGAACGGTGGTGCTCACGTCGCACAGGTAATACAACTGCACTTAGTTTCTTTTTTATTATTTACTCATTTGTGTCTTTGTAGCATGGACGAGTGTGAAGAACTGTGTAATCGTTTAGCCATCATGGCTGGTGGCAAATTCAAGTGTCTAAATAATATCTGCGCGCTCAAGCGATTAAGCGGCTTTACAATAAAACTGAAAATGAAGGAGGACACCGAAACGGACGAGAATGTGAGCACGATCACAACCACGCTGAAATCACAGTTTCCTGGGCTGGAACAGCGAGAAAACCACGCTGGCACACTTACCTACTTTGTGGGCACACAGGAGAGTATAGTCCACTGGTCGGATGTGTTTAAGATAACCGGGGATTACTTAGATAATCGGTTAAGCGATCTGGTCGCAGATTATTCTGTGAACGAATGTACCCTGGAGGATATTTTCCTCAAGTTCGAAAAGCAGTCGAAATCCCAATCAGAGTCACCTCAATCTTCGCTGCAACACATTTCGGGAAGCAATTACGTATAAACCTGGCAGACAGGTGTATTTAAATATCAAAAAGCGACAGAGCTCAAGACTGCCGTCGTGGGGATCGGGCTCACCTTTTCCGCGACACCATCCATCATCTGTATAAATTCCACTTAACACGTTCCTCGGCCAGTATTCACTTTCTTTACGAATCTCTTAACTTAGAGAAAGCTTAATTTCTCGACGGCAGTCACTTTGGCTCTTAGCAGTCGGCAGGATTCCTCTACTTAACGAATGCATGTGTACCGACTAATCAAATCTAACAAAGACGGAAAGTTTGTGTATGAAATGTGCAACAATTATATTTATTTTTTAAGTATAAGCATAATTAAAAAACCTAATTATTAAGCACTATATTTGGTTACAATTATCGGAATAATTTGTGTAATATGAAAAGATCTTTAACATTTCTCATCATACATAAAATGTATATTTAGTCACCCCACATTTTAGTATTCCAAAATGAAAATATTACAAATATTATTATTCATTTAATAAAGATTTCTATTATTTATACATTCGTTGTTTTACTAAATTAAAATTTTCGAGATTCGTTTTATTCGTACACAAGCAAATACCGAGGATTTTGTGCGATGTAGAGATCTATGGCAAGATTTGATTTTAGAACAAAAAAGTTAATCTTATCCTAGTGCCTACTGTAAAAATGTATTCCTGCCGTACAATGAATGACATAGCAGCCCAAAAATATGGCACAAAGACGTTTTAATAATAAAACTGATACAAATCTTGTTTCTTAAAGGGGACTTCACAGTAAAAATTACTCAGTAAATTAACGAAGATTTGTCTTGATTGTTATACTTCGAGCTGGCCACACTTAGTATTTATTTATTTACAAAATAAAGCCGAGTCCCTGGCCTTGATCCGCGGATAATATATTCCCGCCATGTCGCGAAGTAAGATATGGAGGTATTACGACAAATTGGATCGGAATTCTGCTCGATGTCAGCTCTGCGAAAAGGTCATCAAGACCTGCGGAAACACCTCAAATTTAATGAAGCACATGAAAACCCATCCGCAAGTGTAAGAAGCTTTCAAATTCGAAGGCGCCTTTACCGATTTCCTAATATATTACAGTGATTTATATGATGACGAAACTGTGGTAATTCGAGGTATTTACAAACGAAGGGACCCGGATGACTTTAAACGGCGGATGCGAAAAGCGCTGCCTTTTAAGGAGGATAGCTCCGACTTTCATAGCGAGTTGGTTTCGAAAGCGTCTAAAGAAGCAGCTAGTTTCATCGAGCTGGATTCTAATGGACTGACAAAGGTTTCCTCAGAAGGTCCAGTTGCCGTACAAAGCGTTGGATATGCGTGGTTCAGCCAAGAAGAAACCGTTTCGGGAGAAACCGTCAGCGCCGAGGATATCATCGAGTTTGAGCCAAAGGAGGAGCCCGAGGACCTAGCAGGAAATTCGCTTCACGAAACCCAGAAAGTATCAGTACAGGAAGTCGATTTTGAGCCCAAGGAAGAACCCGGGGAGCTAGTAGGCAAATTCATTCTGGAGGCTCAGAACGCAACACCTCAAGAAGTCGTGTAAGTCGAAAATTTATTCTAAAACAAAGTATTCTGTAATGAATTATCCAATAAGAAGAACATCATATTAATTGTTAAAAATTTGCAGTAACATTAATATGGTCGTTCCTGTGGCAAGACAGCGTTCGCTTCATCAAGACGTGGCCATTTTCATCTGCCGTGACCGTCAACCGTTGGAAATTCTTGAAGGCGAAGGATTCAAGCACCTGTTTAAAGTATTGAACCCCAACTACAAGCTACCCAGCGTAGCAGAGCTAAAGGCAATCATCAGCAGGGAGGCACAATTGCAGAGATCCAAACTTCGTAAGCAGTTGGCTGGCATCTCCACCCTTAGTCTCAGTTGCTCGATGCACACGAGGAGCGAAGGTCAAAGCTGGCTGGAGTTGGTGGCCCACTTTTATGATGGACGGCAGCGAATCTTTCGAACGCTTTCTGTGCAGAACCTTTCCAATCCCTTGACATCCATCCATATAAATGATTGCATGGTGCGTGTGTGCCAGTTATTCGACATCAACAAGTCAAAGATTTCGTGCATTACGACCAGTAGCAATCGCATGCTGGAGGATGCGGTAACCTTGTTTTTAGGCGAACAGCATCATGTGCTTTGTTTTGCCGATCACCTCAGTTCCCTCCTTGAGGCTGTGGTACAGCGTTCTGAAATTCATATCATGTGCGAAAAAGTGCGTCCATATGTGGAGGCTCATCTGGATTCGGAAGATAAAAGTTCGCACAGCAAACTTAAGTTGGATGGCATTAAGAGCTTTATAACCACCTACGAAATGCTAGAGCCGTACCTGAAACACACTTCTACTTCTTTGGATGATCCACTCCCGCTTTCACAAGAGGAAGTCGAATTAAGCCTGCAGTTACTAGACGTGCTGAGACCTCTAACAAGCTCCATACGTGAGCTAAGTCGGACACCCTACCCTTTGGCCAGTAATGCCCTGCCCATCGCCCACACTCTGATTAACGAACTGAAGCAGGAGAGGAAAATGGAACAACAAGTGACTCAGGAGTTGCGATTGTTTATGATGCGTCAGATGGAGGAACACATTGCGGGCATGGAAAGGAACTTTAACCTGGCCATGGCCACTTTGCTGGACCCGCGGTTCCGGAATATTCCTTTTCAAAGCGGTGTCCTTGTTGCGAAATACATGACGCAGTTGTATGACATGATGCAGGCCTATACAGAAAGCGAACGGTTAGTTACAGTTGAACATCCTGTGAACAATGATTGCTTTGACATCTGGGCGGCGTACAAAGCCTTTTCAAATGGGAAACAGCGGCTCTTAAACGAAAACAACGGTCTAGATACTGAAGACGAAATAGCCTCCTACTTCTGCAGCGGCATTAGTTCCTTGCAGGCAGATCCCTTTCAGCTCTGGCAGGATCTCTCTGCACCTCATCCCTTCCTGCACACCGCAGCCCAAAAGTACCTACATATTCCAGCGACCGCAATGTCTCCATCGAGACTTTTTACGGACGATGGAGCGTTGGTGACGGAAAAGTATGCCGTACTCCTTGACAGAAACATGGAAGACGTCCTTTTCATGGCGGATGTGCCACAAGATGAGTGGCAACTTTAACATTGAGCTTAGTCAACTGATACCACATTTTTAGTTTCGCTTTTGACACACTTATAAATAGTAATTTATGTTTTGTAATACCTTTTTGAAGTAGGGTTTATAAGTTCCAAGTTCTTTAATTTACGCGTCAAATAACCAACGGGTTTTTTTCAACATAAAGATAAACTATATTTTAAACAAAATATTGTAAGTGGGAAACTATTGAATTTATTGAAGTGTTAATATTGTTATCACTAAATACCGTTGTCAGTTTAAATAAATGTGATACCAGTCAATTCAAATTGATAACGGAAAATACCAAAAAAATATTGTGTTCTTTCCAACACTGATTTTGTGTTATTACTTTTTCCCTTCGCGGTCACACTTCTGATGACGTTTTTTCGCATTGTATTTTGAAGCGTATTTAAATGTGGAAAAAGTTAAAAATTTGCATCATGCAAACCTCCACGACACGCTAAAAACACGACAAGTGCCGCAAAGACGACAATCCAACCGAGAGGAGCACTCCGCGCAGCTGGCGAAGCATCCAGAAGGCAGCAGCGAAAGTTGCGTGGCTGTCGTTTCCGGAAGAGCTGGGCAGAAGAGAAACCGTTGGTGGAGGAAGGGGGGGCAAGAGCAGGCATAGAAACCCACTCAGCGGAAGCGACCTTGGGAGTGGCAGCGGCCCAATATGCACAACAACTCCACGAAGACCAAGGAAATGTTCATCGTGCGTGCTTTAGAAAAGATCCTTGCCGACAAGGACATAAGGCGCTCCCATCACTCGCAGCTGAAGAAGTCTTGTGATTCGGCCTTGGAGCAGATCAAGGCGGAGCTCATCAGTGCTGGTCAAATCGCCGAGGGCAACGAGCTGCCCTGCGCCGCACTTCCGCTACCCAAGAACGATGCGGCGAGCATCATCAATGCGGAGACCTACTTTCTGCCCTTCGAGCTGGCCTGCAAGAGCCGCTCACCGCGGATCGTGGTCACCGCTTTGGACTGCCTGCAGAAGCTTATCGCCTATGGCCACTTGACGGGATCTATTCAGGACTCGGCGAACCCCGGTCATCTGCTCATCGATCGCATCGTCGTGACCATTTACGGCTGCTTCAACGGTCCCCAGACCGATGAGGGCGTCCAGCTTCAGATCATCAAGGCACTGCTCACGGTGGTAACCTCGCAGCATGTGGAGATCCATGAGTTCACGCTGCTCCAGGCAGTGCGCACCTGCTATGACATCTACTTGTCCAGCAAGAACCTGGTCAACCAGACCACGGCCCGAGCTACGCTCACTCAGATGCTAAACGTGATCTTTGCTCGCATGGAGAACCAGGTGTACGAGCTTCCGCCTCCCAACTCTAATCCCATCAATGGCAGTATCCACTCGGAGGACTGCAATGGATCAGGAGAGGAAACGCCGGGAGATTCCGACGAAGTCATTGCCTCAGAGCTACTGGCGGAGATCATATCAGGTGCGTGGCACTGGGTGGAGGGAGTTAAATTGGCAGAAAGCACATATTTTCTTGAGAGGAAGCCTAAAATATTTTTGATCAGCAATAGTAGCTCACTGTCTTGTTTATATTTTGCATTCAAACAAACATACAATTCAAATACTCCCATTTTAAGCACTCAACGTGCTTTCATTAATTGAAAGGAAATTTTTTTTTTCTGCTGGGCGCAACTTTTGTTGCCCTACAGTCTATGAAAGCACTTTATTGTCTTCCATATGAGTCAGCATAGTTATTTACACGATAAGGTGCAACATTAACTGCCGCTCCTCCTACCCGCCTATTAATCATTGCGCAACAATAATGACGATTTCGTATTTTAGCTGCCTACAATGAGGCCATGAAGGATCAGGAATCGGTTGGCGAGCCAGAGTCCACGGTCAATGGAAACGACTACTCTTCGCACTCGGATCACGACAGCGTGGAGCTTCACAGCGAGAATGATGCAGTGGTGACCGCCAAGTTCACGCACATCCTGCAGAAAGATGCCTTTCTCGTTTTTCGGGCGCTGTGCAAGCTATCAATGAAGCCCCTGCCAGAAGGTCATCCAGATCCGAAGTCGCACGAGCTGCGATCCAAGGTGCTGTCTTTGCATCTGCTGTTGCTCATCCTCCAGAATGCCGGACCCGTCTTCCGCTCAAACGAGATGTTCATCATGGCAATTAAGCAATATCTTTGTGTGGCTCTGTCCAACAACGGAGTAAGCTTGGTACCGGAGGTCTTCGAGCTGTCGCTTTCGATCTTCGTGGCTCTCCTGTCGAACTTCAAGGTGCATCTGAAGCGCCAGATCGAGGTGTTCTTCAAGGAGATTTTCCTCAACATTCTGGAGGCCAATTCGAGCAGCTTCGAGCACAAGTGGATGGTTATTCAGGCGCTGACACGCATTTGCGCCGACGCTCAGTCTGTGGTGGATATTTACGTAAACTACGATTGCGACTTTTCGGCGGCAAATCTTTTTGAGAGACTAGTCAACGATCTCTCGAAAATCGCTCAGGGTCGACAGGCCCTGGAATTGGGTGCTAATCCGATGCAGGAGAAATCTATGCGCATTCGCGGTCTGGAGTGTCTTGTTTCCATTTTAAAGTGCATGGTGGAGTGGAGCAAGGACTTGTACGTTAATCCAAATATGCCTGTTCCCGCCCTGCAGGTGCAATCGCCTACGAGCACGGAGCAAGATCAGGCGGATACCACCATACAAACCATACACAGCGGCTCTAGCCACAGCCTTAATTCGAATCAGGAGCAACTGCAGGATCTTCCCGAGGCGCTGGAGGAGCGTAAGATGCGCAAGGAGGTAATGGAAACGGGCATTGAGTTATTCAACCGAAAGCCGCAGAAGGGAGTCCAGTTCCTGCAGGAGAAGCAGCTGCTGGGCGCCACATGTCAGGATATTGCCCGTTGGCTGCATGAGGACGAGCGATTGGATAAGACAGTGATTGGCAATTATCTGGGCGAAAACGATGACCACTCCAAGGAGGTAATGTGTGCCTATATCGATGCCTTCGACTTCCGACAACTGGAGGTGGTGGCTGCGTTGAGAATCCTTCTCGAAGAGTTCCGACTGCCAGGCGAGGCGCAGAAAATAGATCGACTGATGGAGAAGTTCGCCAGCAGGTACTGCGAGTGCAATCCGCAGAACCAGCTGTTCCAAAGCGCCGACACTGTTTACGTGCTGGCATTCAGCATCATCATGCTGACCACGGATCTCCACTCGCCGCAGGTCAAGCACAAGATGACCAAGGAGCAGTATATTAAAATGAACCGCGGCATCAGCGACAGCAAGTCGGATTTGCCCGAGGAATACCTGTCCTCCATCTACGACGAGATTTCCGAACACGAAATCAAAATGAAAAACAATTCGGGAATGCTTCAACAACCGAAACCCACTGGAAAGCAGGCCTTCATTACGGAAAAGCGTCGAAAACTTCTGTGGAACATGGAGATGGAGGTCATCTCTCTCACGGCCACCAACCTGATGCAGTCCGTTTCGCACGTCAAGTCACCTTTCACATCCGCGAAGCATCTGGAGCACGTGCGTCCCATGTTCAAAATGGCTTGGACACCTTTCCTGGCCGCCTTTTCTGTTGGTCTGCAGGATTGCGACGATCCGGAGATTGCCACGCTCTGCTTGGATGGAATCCGTTGCGCCATTCGCATCGCCTGCATCTTCCACATGTCCCTGGAGCGAGATGCCTATGTCCAAGCGCTGGCGAGGTTTACCCTTCTGAATGCCAACTCGCCCATTAACGAGATGAAGGCCAAGAATATCGACACCATCAAGACGCTGATTATGGTGGCCCACACGGATGGCAACTACTTAGGCAGCAGTTGGCTGGACATAGTCAAGTGCATCAGTCAGCTTGAGCTGGCGCAGCTCATTGGCACTGGAGTGCGTCCGCAGTTCCTTTCGGGAGCGCAGACAACACTCAAGGATTCACTGAATCCCAGCGTAAAGGAGCACATTGGCGAGACGAGCAGTCAGAGTGTTGTGGTCGCTGTCGATCGAATTTTTACCGGTTCCATGCGCCTGGATGGTGATGCCATCGTGGACTTTGTGAAGGCCCTTTGCCAAGTGTCGGTGGATGAACTGCAGCAGCAGCAACCGAGGATGTTCTCCCTGCAGAAGATTGTGGAGATCAGTTACTACAACATGGAGCGTATTCGTCTGCAGTGGTCGCGTATTTGGCAAGTGCTGGGAGAGCATTTCAATGCCGTCGGGTGCAACAGCAACGAGGAGATCTCCTTCTTTGCGCTGGATTCACTGCGTCAGCTATCGATGAAGTTCATGGAGAAGGGCGAGTTCAGCAACTTCCGTTTCCAAAAGGATTTCCTGCGTCCCTTCGAGCACATCATGAAGAAGAACGCCTCGCCGGCGATTCGGGACATGGTGGTGCGTTGCATCGCCCAGATGGTGAACTCCCAAGCGCATAACATCCGTTCCGGCTGGAAGAATATCTTCAGCATTTTCCACCTGGCAGCTGGCGATCACGAGGAGCCAATTGTGGAGCTGGCCTTCCAGACAACGGGCAAGATCATCGGGGATTTGTATAAGCGCCAGTTCGCCATCATGGTGGACTCGTTCCAGGATGCGGTCAAGTGTCTGTCAGAGTTCGCCACCGCCAGGTTTCCGGACACCAGCATGGAGGCCATACGCCTGGTGCGCACCTGTGCCCAGTGTGTCCACGAGGCGCCTCAACTGTTTGCGGAGCACGCCGGCATGGAGAACGATGCCTCGGTGGCGGAGGAGGATCGTGTGTGGGTGCGCGGCTGGTTCCCGATGCTGTTCTCGCTCTCCTGCGTCGTCAATCGCTGCAAGCTGGACGTGCGAACGCGCGCGTTGACCGTCCTCTTTGAGATTGTGAAGACGTACGGCGAGAGCTTCAAGCCCAACTGGTGGAAGGATCTGTTCAATGTGATCTTCCGCATCTTCGACAACATGAAGTTGCCGGAGCACGTCACCGAGAAGTCCGAGTGGATGACCACCACCTGCAACCATGCCCTGTACGCCATCATCGATGTCTTCACACAGTATTTTGATGTCCTGGGGCACTTGCTGCTGGAGGAGCTGTTCGCTCAGCTTCACTGGTGCGTTCAGCAAAGCAATGAGCAGTTGGCGCGCTCTGGCACCAACTGTCTAGAGAACCTGGTCATTTCGAACGGGTTCAAGTTCAACGAGTCGACGTGGGACAAGACGTGTCAGTGCATCCTGGACATCTTCAACGCCACGTTGCCTCAGGATCTGCTCACCTGGCGGCCGAAAGCACA